AACGTTCAGACAGCCATGTCAGCGTTAAGACTGCTGAGTCAACGTTCAGACAGCCGTGTCAGCATTCAGACTGCTGAGTCAGCATTCAGACAGCCGTGTCAGACTTCTGAGTCAGCGTTCAGAGCACTTATTCAGCATTCAGACAAGTAAGCTTTCAGACTGCTGAGTCAGCATTCAGACTGCTGAGTCAGCGTTCAGACTGCTGAGTCAGCGTCCAGACTGCTGAGTCAGCTTTCAGACTGCCGAGTCAGTTTTCAGACTGCCGAGTCAGCATTCAGACAGTCGAATCAGCGTTCAGATTGCTGAGTCAGTGTTCAAACTCAGGAAGCTTTGGTACCAATGGTCTGGATGATGGCGTTCTGGACGATCCGCTCTTCGCTCTCCTTCCCTCGGCCCGATGACACGCTGCTGCTGGAGTTCCTCCTGGAGCTCTCGCCCAGCTCAAAGTCCACGCTCATCCTCAGGTGTTTGAGCAGCGTGTTGAAGACCTCCAGAACCGTTGGACCTGAACCCGACCAGACAAAACAAACAGCATTCAGCCCTGTTCGGTTTAAAGTGGCGTCAAATAAAAATAAATGTTTGATGTTTTATATTTAGTTGTAATCTCTATCGTATTCCCGGTACAAGGAGGATTAACTAACAGGTTTAATTTGTACTAATCTAATTTTTCTACAAACCAACACTCAGCTACACAAACATCCAACAACTAAAACCTGCAGCTGTGAGCGACCAGAAAACACAAATACASATTAACCTGACTGAAAATTCATCTGATAAACTAAATATCAATTAAATTAAATACTGTTTTTGTGTTTCTGGTCATTCAGTTTTCAGTTTAACTCAACGAACAATAATCTGGGATTATGCTGGGATGAACATGACATCAATCGGCCTTTATTTAAATTCTGAAGATGTGGTTCATCTTTTAAAGAAAGATATCTGAGTTTGGGTGTGAATTCCTTCAGGCTGCTGGTTGATGCCAGGTGAGTTGGGTCTGCAGAACCATCTGGGTTTAAGGTGGATTTAAGGTGGGTCCAACACGGCGTGGTACCATACCGAGCCACAGATTAGGCGGAGTCGGGCTTTCGCTTTCGAAGCTGATAACGTCGCTTCTTCTCGACTCTTGGATCATTCCTGTCGGACGATGTTTCCCGCCGACAGAAGCAGGTTGATGGAAACAGAAACAATCACAGCTTTTCTTCCTTTTTTAAAAATAAATCTGAATAAACTAAAAGCTTTTAATCATCTCATCATTTCACCTCCATTTAACAATAAACTTCACAGCAAATTAAATTTTAATTTTCTGTCTGTCGTCTGAAGGTGACGACCATCGTAATCATCATTAATTAACGCGTCCTTTAACGAGAACAAACACTCAGCAGAACCTGCAGGTCGTAAACACATCAACGTGTCCCAAACACCTTTAAACTTCTGTTTTCAAACTCTTGATTCAACTTTAAGTTTCAGATTAAAGTTTAAAATTGGAAACCAGTTTTACTGAAATAAAAACGATTTAAGATATTTAATTCATGAAATCTGCAGAGCTGGTTTAAAAATAATTTAAAACTAACTGAAGATTTTTCTGACTGTTTCCTCTGGAGTCTGAACTGAGTCCTCCTCGTTAGCASAACACCAGCTGAAAGCTAAAGTYGCTACTTCTAATTTTCAGATAGCTGTTTGCTACTCTGAGTGAGCTTTTTGTATTCTGCGCTGGCTTTTTGCCATTTTTAGATTTAGCAAAATTTTAGTGGTTTGTTACATTTAGCTTTTAGCTAACCTTTTCCCATGTATTGCTTTTAGGTAACTTTTTGTTTTTCTGAACTAGACTTTTGCTACTTTTTGGAGGAGGTTAGCTCTGAGCAAGGCTTGTGCTACAGTTAGTTTTGAACTAACGTTTTTCTACTTTAGCTAGCCTTTAGTGTTTAGCTACATTTAGATTTATAGCTTTAGGCTACTCTGAAATAAACTTTTGCAATTTTTGCAACAGCTAGCTTTGAGCTAGCCCTTTGCTACGTGTAGTTAGCTCTTAGTGTTCTCCTATATTTAACTTTTAGATAGCTTTTTGTTGTTCAAATTAACCTTTTGGAACAGTTAGCCTAGAGCTAGCCTTTTGCCATTTCTAGCTATCTTTTAGTGTGCTGCTACACCATTCTGATAGCCCGAAATAAACCTTTTGCAACTGTTAGCTTTGAGCTAGCCTTTTGGTACTTTTAGCTAGCTTTTAGTGTTTAGCTACATTTAACCTTTAGATAGCCTTTAGCTACTTTGTAATTTTTTCAACAGTTAGCTTTGAGCTAGTCTTTTGCTCCTTTTTCCTGTTATGTTGGGGTTAATCAGACAGTTTATTCTTAATTCTCATTTAACACAATAAAAATATGCTGAATGAGCAACTTTAACAATAAAACAGTAATAAATCATTTATAAACGCTGCTGTTTTTCTTATATTGATTTTATATTAAAACTCAAATGAAATATTTTACTTCTGCAGCGACTGAATTCAGGAAGTGGATCATTTCCTGGACCGGTTCTTTCACTCACCCACGGATCCTTTGGCAGCGATGGCCACCGTCTCCAGGAGGACCTGGACGATGCCGGCTCTGACCCGCGGAGCGCTCTTACTGTGGGTGTCCAGGTGGTTCAGAACCTGCTGGATGACATGGTGSGAGTGCTGGGCCTGGAGAGACCAGACAGATTAGAGAAACGCTAAGCTGCCTCCTTCATTAAAAGTTTGGAGGTTGCTTCCTCATAATTTCAACGTTTTAACAATGAAGCATGGAGGTGGGAGTGTCATGATGTGTGGCTGTTTTTGAATTAGACTTTAGCTATTAGAGGGTAAAACTTGGATAGATAAACCCAACTTTAGTTCACAATCTGTAAAACTGAATTACAGACAGACAATAAGCTATGGTGGGCGGCCATCTTGGATTGGGTCGTCCATAAAGGTTAACGAGCTGAACATCTAAAACCGAATTCTTCACAGCTGAATAAATAAATAATTTTACTGTAATTTAACTAAATAACTGATTTATTACAAAGGTTCAATATTTCCATTTAAATCTTGTAACTGTTTTTATTTAAAAAGAAATAAAAACTTTAATATTAAAGTATCTCTGACTGTTATAAATGTTGTAGCTTTAAYTCTAAAAATGAGCCGTAGATTAATAATAGTGTTTTTAGGCAGAAAAGGACAGAAGATGTCCTTTTCTTTGTCGTCTTGTGATTAAAACCCGACGCCTCAGACCGATTTCTCCTGCTGAGAATAAAATCGATGTTTCTTACGTCCTCTGATTGATTTCCTGCTGGAGTAACGACACAAAGGAGATGACTTTAGAAACCAAACATCGACAACAAATTACTTTCGCCGCTTATTCAGGGATCCGTCTCGGCTGTGGGGATGGATTTTATCTTTCTAAAAGTCTGTTAATGTCGTGGTTCTGCCTCCGACAGCAGAACACCTGATGGGTCGCTCTGCAGGATAAAACTGTGGTTCGCTTGTTTTCTGTCACTTTCAGATCAAACGCTGACGGCAGATAAGAGTCAAACATCCCCCGGCTGATCAAAGAGACAAAACTCTACAGGGACCTCCTGCAGGACTCCAACATTTAAAAAAGGATCAATCGAATCTAAACCCTTAACGACGACTGTTGGAACAAAATATCAACAGCTCTTTTCATGAAATCAATAAATGATGAGCTGGTGTTGGGAATATATTTATTAAATTATGGCATTAGTTTGTCCTCATTTATCAAAAGCATTGTAAAAAAATACATTTTAACAGCTATTATTTTAACCAATGACCCTCAGGAGAGGCTAATGACCCTCAGGAGAGGCTAATGACCCTCAGGAGAGGCTAATGACCCTCAGGAGAGACTAATGACCCTCAGGAGAGACTGATGACCCTCAGGAGAGACTGATGACCCTCAGGAGAGACTGACGACCCTCAGGAGAGACTGATGACCCTCAGGAGAGACTGATGACCCTCAAAAGAGACTAATGATCCTCAAAAGAGACTGAAGACCCACAGGAGAGACTGAAGACCCACAGGAGAGACTGATGACCCTCGGGAGAGACTGATGACCCTCAGGAGAGACTGATGACCCTCAGGAGAGACTGATGACCCTCAGGAGAGACTTAAGACCCTCAGGAGAGACTTAAGACCCTCAAAAGAGACTAATGACCCTCAAGAGTGACTAATGACCCTCAAGAGAGACTAATGACCCTCAGGAGAGGCTAATAACCCTTTAGGACAGTGGTGTTCAAAGTCGGTCCTCAAGGACCAGTATCCTGCATGCTTTAGTTGCTGCCCTGGTTCAACACAGCTGAACTTATGGAGTGCCTAATTAGTAGGCTTCTGCAGACCTTGCTGACATACTGAAGAGGCCTACTATTTAAGCACTCTTTAGGTTCAGCTATGTTGAACCAGGGCAGCACCTACACCGACTCTTGAGGACCAACTTTGGACACCACTGCTTTAGGAGGAACTAGCGACCATCAGGAGAGACTAATGACCCTCAGGAGGGAGGGGAGTAGGATTATTTTGCCTTCAACTCATTCCTTTGATCTGAAGCAAAACAACTTTTACCAAAAGAACAGATGACTGAAAATTTGAACCCACACACTGCAGTTTGGTCTTTTATTCCTAATAAACTTATTTTTAATAATGTCATCAAACTATGAGTCATTTGATATCTGAACTACTGTAAACTAAGTAATTTACCTTCCGTCATTTAATTTAGTTCCATTTATCATATAATATGAAGAAATATATTTTGTCACAATACTCCAGGTTTTGGATGGAGTTCATGTTTTAGACTTGTTTAGCCATCTTAAATGTGTCGTACCTGGATTGAGTACATGGTGATCCTGAAGCAGGAAACTGCAAACTCGTTGGGGTCCCACAGATGATGGTTGTCCAGGTGGCTGCAGGAAAACACAATCAAGTAATACATTTAGTTAAAAAAACACTTTTTACCTTGTTTTAATTTGATCACTCTTCAAATATCAATCCTGGGATGTATTTTTAAGATTTGTGGCCACTATAAAACATCTTTAGTCTTTAGAGTAAAAGGGTTTAGACCAACAAATGATAATGCCATGAAGATAAAAACTATTTTAATGTGCTTTAGAAATAAAATTAACAGGCTTTGACCAAAGTGGTTTATAATTTGATCAAAAAAGTAAAACAAAAGAAAAAGCATGAGCTCTGTTAGAAATTGGCTGATATAAAACATTAAATTATAATGAAGCAGCTCAACTGTTTAAAGAAATTAGAGCTATAATTGGTTCATGCAGAGGAGGATCGGTTACACAAAAAGCATAAAAACCAGTAAAGAGATAAAATCTGACACACAAGAGAAACATAAGGAAGATGTTTAAACCTGACAGATTAGCAGCAGAAGGTCAGAGGTTTAAAACAAACAAACAAACAAACAAATAAATAAACGATGGTGGGCGTCAGAGATGACATGAACGATGCCAAGGAGCCAGAACGAAGGATTTGTTTCTCCCCGTCTGAGCCGACCCATTTAAAGTCATCTAATCTGTCAGATAAACCAGTTTTTATGTCTGCAGACACACAAACATGCAGGCAGGATGTGGGATTATTTATCCTCCCACTTACAGCAGGAAACATCTCTGCCTTCAGCATTAAAATTACATTTTTAAATCAAGAAACCCTGCAGATCATACAGTATTTCTACTGTTCAACTCCAAATGAAGCTGAAATCCTCTTTAKGCGTCCTGACCAGACTGCAGGTCATGAAACTCTGAAGGTCTCCAGATGATTTCATTAACTGTTTGACGATGAACAACAAAGAAAGATTCTGGCTGTAAATTAACCTTTATGTTTTAGGGTTATTAGTAAAGTTTTAAACTGGTATTTCTGCTCACAAACATCAGATAATTTTATTTTCGGGTCAGAAGCAAACGGGTCTGAATGGTTTTGGAGCCACAGAACCAATGGTACCAGTTTGGGAAGGCCCCATTTAAAAAAAAAAATCACTTTAGTTTTTTACAATTTTACTTGGTTATACAATCCTCTCTAAATAAATCCAGGGTCTTTAGACAAAAATCATAAAAACCTGTAAGAAATGAACAGATGGCGTAAAAATCAAACTCTGATTTGTTCAGTTGTAACAAAAAATGTCCTAAAAATTTGGAAATAGCCGCTTCGTCTGAGAGAAAGGAGAGAAAAATATCTACATTTTAAAGAATAAACTACATGTTTAAGAAGCATAAAGTTGGTCAGAACAGGAAAAGTTAGCAAAACTTTGGAAATTTTAATCAGATTAAAAACTAGCTTTAAGGCTGATTTATAATCTGAGATGCTAAGAAATCTGTTCCTCTTTTTTATGGATTTAATTTTACGTATTATACTTGAATAAATACGGTAGTTTTACTTTTTATATAATTTCTGTATTATTTATTTCACATCTAATCAGTCACTTAGTTCAGGTCAGTGTTTAAAAGAGGACGTGTTTGAACACTGTTCAGTCAAAGTTAACTACAACTGGCCCTTCGAGGGCCACCATAACGCTCATGTGGCCCTCAGTGAAAATGAGTTTGACCCAGTCGAACAGTGAAGAACTAGTGGATGAAGACGGTACAGTCATGGTGTGTGTAGGAGGGCGTCTTCTGAATAAATGAAAATGATTTAACACAGTTGTTTATACTTTTAGCAGCTCTTTTTATTCCACAGCTGACCTGGTAAAAATGACAGATTTTCTTTTCTGGATCTCTGACAGACGGACTTCAATCTCTGAACTCGTAAAGTTCTTTTTACTTTTCTCTGTCATTTTCATGAATGAATGGACACTTCCTGATATCTGAGGCAGGAAACATAGCCTTATATGGTGTTTTTGCGGTGGTAATTATGCTAATCTCCTCTCGCGTGCACGAGCAGCTGGATAGAACAGGTGGAATTTACGCAGCTCATTTACACACTTTTCCTGAAGATAGACGAGTTTGTTGAATCTGACGTGACATGTTCGTACGAACCCTTTGTACGAACAAAAGGAAGAGAAATTTAGGATAAGAATACGAACATGTTCTTGCATGAGGCCCAATGTTTTCTCGCTAAATATAAAGAAATGTATTTACCCTGAATAATATACAGAATAAAGGGTTTGGGTTAATCGTCCACCTCCCATTGAGCCACGTTTTGATTTATTAGTTTTTGTTTTGGTTCAAACTATCGTGTGGAGGAGCCACAGATGTTTCCAGAACATCAGGTCGAAGCAGACCGAGGTCTGAGGTTGGCTCAGTCATCGTCTCGTCGCTGCGGAGGTGAACCAWGTCAGGAGGTGTCAGATGCAGCTCAGCGACAGGCTGATTGATCCATCATGATTCTGCTTCAAGTTCTCTAATCAACACATCACCCAGCATGACCAGCAGGACCTTCTGCTGCTTATTTATGGCAGGAAGACAGAAATCATACAGTCAGGCTGCAGAAACGCCTCGCAGAATATATTTTACAGGAAGTCCTGGGTTTGCATCGATCGGTTCTGGTCACGCAGCAACCCGACCTCCTTTTAGACCCGTTAATGTGAAAACTGAACCGTTCCAGGATCTGAGCCTGGAGGAAGGTAAACAATACAGAGATTAAAGATCAATTAAGGATTATTCAGTTTGAAGAATCGGAGCAGTTTTTAGAGATAAAACCACAAAAAATCAGGTTTTGGAGGAGAAATAAAGACGAGGAGTTAAAAAGAAGCAGCAGAGCCGTAAAGAGGATTGGAAGCTGCTCCTTCACCAACATGACGTCAATTCAAACCCCCAAAACTCTCCTCCTCCCCCCGTTAACCCCAATCCTCGCTATTTATAGTCTGAAGACGCTCCTTCGTCCTCCTCTTCCTCTGCAGGAGGAGAGGAACTGTTTCAGACGTGCTGAGAGGAAAACCCAGCAGCTGACTGATGGAGACAAAAATTTAACCTGGAAATGGTTGGTCTGCTTTCAGAGCGTCAGGGTGCTTAGGTTTACTGCAGCAGCTGCTCCGGTCTCAGTTTGACCTGAGGTTAGGTTTACTGCAGCAGCTGCTCCGGTCTCAGTTTGATCTGAGGTTAGGTTTATTGCAGCAGCTGCTCCGGTCTCAAGTTTGACCTGAGGTTAGGTTTACTGCAGCAGCTGCTCCGGTCTCAAGTTTGACCTGAGGTTAGGTTTACTGCAGCAGCTGCTCCGGTCTCAGTTTGAACTGAAGTTAGGTTTATTGCAGCAGCTGCTC